TTACATTATCTAAAAAGTAATAAAAATTATTTGCTCCCATATAACATTCGTTATGTAATCAGTATTCTAAAACTGCTTAACATAATATTCAGTTTTTTTATCAATCTCGCCATTATGATTTTATGAAACTTTTGTGATTTGGTAACACCCTCAAAAATTTCTAAAGGAAACCGTATTTATTGTGTGATACAGGCACGTCTTCTTTATTTTTTTAGATAGAAATAAAATTTTTAATTTCAAATTTTGGAAAAAAGTTAAAATAAATTTTCTGAAATACTATTTTGAATACTGAAGTGCTAATTATTGAATTATCTAACAAACGTTATTTATGTGATATGTTACAAGATAATAATATTATAAATCTTAGTTGTATGTATAATTTTCATTTTCATTCCTAGCCGATATCAAAAAGGGACGAGGTCTCAATTCTGTACTAACTGTACTATGTGGTCTTTTGTTTGTGTATTACTCGACATCTTAGTCATTGATTTGAAAAAACTGATTTTAATGATTATTTTTAAGAAAATAATTAGTTTAGGGGTAGTCCTATATAAAGACACTTGTATGCTGATGATCTCCAAATCTATACTCAGTCCTCTCTTGAAGATCTATCTAAAGCAGTTGACACTATTAACGCTGATCTGACTTGTATTTCGAATTGGAGTAAATGTTATGGTTTAACGATTAATGCTAAGAAAACTCAGGTCATTGTCATCGGTCCTAGATTAATTGGTAAAATTGACTGGTCTTCCCTACCCCCTATTATACTAGACTGCACTCTAATCCCTTACAGTAACAAGGTTAAAAACCTGGGGTTGTATCTTGACTCCTGTATATCTTGGACCTCACAGGTTAATGAGGTCAGTAGAAAAATGTTTGCTGCGTTAAGCTCTTTACGTAGATTACGTAATTTTCTTCCCACAGCAACTAAAGTTACGCTCGCCCAGTCTCTACTTCTGCCTATCCTTGACTATGCTGATATTTCCTATCTTGAAATTACCGAGGAGCAGCTTAATAAGCTTGAGTTCATTCAAAATTTATGCATTAGATTTATATTTGGGCTTCGCAAATATGATCATATCTCCGAATTTCGCAAACAGCTCAAATGGTTCCCGATCCGCCTTCGCAGGAATACTCACATTCTCTACGCGTTGTATAGCGTGCTGTTTAATCCTTCCACTCATCTTTATTTAAAAAACCGTTTCCAGTATCTTTCTTGTACCCATAATAGATTCCTTCGATCCTCCGTCAATCTTTCTTTCTCTACACCTTTGCACTCTTCTTCCTTTTTCAAGAAATCCTTCACCGTAACTGTTGTGCGATTGTGGAACTCCTTACCTCTCCATATTCGTCGTGCTAAATCCCTTCACTCTTTCAAAAATCTTGTTAAATCGTATTATTTAGAACGCTATTAGATAAATTACTTTGCATATCTAGTACTCTTTTCATTTAATCTATTATATGATATTTTATATATAATTTTCACTTATCTTTATTTGTATGTATTATTATTTTTTTATTATTATTTTGTATGCTCCCCTCCATTTTAACTTTTGTTTGCATCATTCCTCTACGCATAGGTTGTCTGGAAGAAATCACTTTCAGAGTGATAAGACCACCTATTGTACATAATTTAATTTATTTTAACTTTACTTGATGTTTCTGTATTGTGGTGTACAAAAAAGAATAAATAAATAAATAAAGACGAAAAAACTCATTTGATCACCATTTATCATAGTTCACGTTTATCACTTAAGTTATTTGAAAAGTCCACTTTACCATACATTCACTTAAATATCTCAAATATGATTTAAACCTATAGTATGTAATACTTGAAGTAAAAAGTAAAGTAATAATTTAAAAAAAAACTTAATAAATATTTACAAAAAGTTATTTTTTAATTTTACCACTGATTCGGAAGAAAAACCTCTGTCCTGGGAAGAGCCAGCAAGAAACCCAGCGGGACTTTTTTTAAAGCACAATATACAATATAATATATCATACAATTGTTATAAAAACCGTAACAGCATGGTAGCGAACACCTCATTCCAAGTGTTAATATCAATCATGTACTCTTTCGTGGTATAATAACCCTTCCTAAACAATTTTTGCTTAGTAAATATTTTAAGCTTTTTGATAGATAAGATCTGCACATTTTCTGGGGCTTTGTTGTAAAAGGCCACACATTGGTCCCATGAAGGATTAACCGATTCTTTGGATTCGAGTAACTGGTATAACTATGCAGACGCTCCGGGAAGTCTGCAGTCTGTGAACACGTACAGGATCGCCCCCGTCACTACATCAGATTTGATAGACCGCAGATCCTCGCTAAAGAACACCGATTCCTTCCAAGGATGATTCGCGAGGCTATTGAAATCAAAAAAACATCCTAATTTCAATAGGGAAGATGGCTGGGTGCTACCATCTGCTTGGGATCCTATAATAAATAAAATTAAATCCCAACCCAAGCATACAACTGCAAGACTTCAAGATACCATAAGTTCATACTGCATAGATCGGAACAAAAGTTAAATTTTAATCTATGGTAATCGCGGTTAACTATGACATATGGACGTTGAACATCTCAGTCCTGCCCGTGACCATGAGTGCTGTAAAGCGTTCGAAACGTCGGGTATTTAAAAAGTTAAAATATACGCGATAAATTCCGTAAAAACTAGTATTATTTCAAGTATATTATGGTCTACCTTATCAAATGCCTTGACAAAATCAGTGTATATATTATTTTTGCAATAAGATTGGAAACATAATTGAGCAAATTGGTATAAGTATACTTCTTAGGCATTAAACCATGTTGGCAGGGATATAAGTGATCTTTAACATGATTGAATATGAATGGGTGGACAAGTGATTCAAAAATCTTTGACACGGTAGAGAGGATTGATATAGGTCGATAATTAGATGCAAGTTCTTTTTTTCCATCTTTGTAAATAGGTACTATTCTTGCTTCTTTCCACTAATCGGGAAAACTCCCTGTCCTAAGTGAAGTATTATAAATTAGTTGTAAGGGATAGGATATTGAATTTGCACACTTAATTAAGAATATAGGGGGGACATTGTCAGGTCCAGCACTCTGTTTTATATCAAGTCTTTTTATTTTGTTTACTATGCATTTTTGGGATATGTATATATTGGACATTTCAGGAAGCTGTTGCTGCGAACCAAGCAAATATACTGAGTTACTGTTGTTATTTGTTGGGGTGTTATAGACACTGGAAAAATGCGCTGCAAATAAGTTACAGGATTCTTTTAGTTCCTTTGATTGTTTGTCTCCTAAATACATTGATGGTGGGTATCTAGACGAGTTTTTACTTTGTTAGAAATGTGAATTTCTACCTATTTCATGTTCTAGTGTAGATATGTATTTGTCATAGCATGTTTCTGTAAGTATTTCCCAGTCGTGACGTAGGTATTGAAATTCTAGTTGGTCTAGGGGATTATTATAGATCTTGTATCTTCTGTGAAACTTCTTTTTTTCCTTTAATAGATATATCAAATAAGAGTTGTACCATACCGGATGCCTATTTCCACATTTTTTACTTTTAGGCACATATAGATTTATTATTTTATAAAGTATTAGATAGAATTCATTAACCATGTCGTTAGTATTATCATATTTTAAAAGTGCATTTGCCCGTAAGATTTCGTCTAGGGCTTTAGTAATCTGATTGTAATCGCCTTTAAAATAGTTATTTTTCTGTAATTTTACGTGATTCGGATAATAACTGGAATAGATACTTCTAATAGTGGATGATGAGTGTCAACATTACGTATAGGGTTGGAACATTCATTAATCTTTACTATTTTGGAGTTACATAAAAATAAGTCTAAAATTTTTTATTACTATTTATAATAGAATTGAATTGCTTGAAGTCATTTAATTCCAAGAAATCTAAGAGTAAATTATGTATGTTATTGTTGCTGTTTAAGATCGTTAAAAGATACGTACCAGAGCTATGTTGTTCCCAGGTTGCATTTGAAATATTGAAGTCACCTGCAATTAACGTGTGTTTTGTGTTATACTCGTTCATGATTCGATTTGTGTTATTAATGAATTTTATAAATAAGTTTTGATTTAGGGGTGGTGGCAGGTACACAACACAGATTTTAAGAAATTCGCATTTCTTACCAATAAAAATCTTAACATTTACCCAAAGATCTTCAGATTCAGTATTGCAATTAGATATTCTACAAGATCTTAAATTGTTAGATACAGCTATGAGAACCCCGCCACCAAGTTTATTAATTGCACGATCTCTTCTGTACACTATATATCTATCGTCAAAGATTTCAGAATCATAAACCGTGCAGTTTAACCACGTTTCTGTAAGAATTATATTGTCAAAATTATTGTTTTGGATTTTTAATGAGACATCCCTAACGTTCGATCTTAGGCCTCGGACATTCTGGTAATAACATGATATATTATCGTATGATGTGTTAGGATAACCCAGCACATTTGTATTATTTATTGTAATTATTCTACTTTAATAAATTAATTCAATTAGCTTAGACTGTTGAGAGATTCAATATTTTTAATACATTTATGTTCAGATGACTCGGTTTTTCTTACATATATACGTCCCGATTTAATACATACATATCTATAGCCCATTTCTTTAGCTCTAACACGGGTTGCCGCATGAAGAGACTTCATAGCCGGAGATAAATGTTCCATAACATAGATAGGTTTTTGTTCTCCTGACATCCCTATGTGACTTGAGTTAAGCTTTTTGTCTTTGTCTTTCTGTTTCTTATCGAAGATCATTGTCGATGCGAGAAAACCATCTCGTACTCTTGGGCAAGCAAACTTTACGAGTACAGAGCGTGGTTTGGAACTATTTTTACCCATTTTTGATATTCTAGTGCATAAGTGAATATCTGTTTGACTTAATTTATACTCTGTTACATTTGCAATTTGCTTGATAACAGTTACAAGGTTTTCTGATTTGTGTTCTGGTATACAGTGTATTTCCATATTGCTAGCCCTCTAATGGTGTTTCGTTTGTTGCAAGCCTGGCGCTGAAGTCCGCGAATGAACTTTTTAGCTCTTTATTTTCATGTTCTAACTTTTTCAGCAATTCATTTTTAGTTTGTACATTAGCACGAATTTCTTCATATTTTATTTCGAAGAAATTAAGTGAGGTTGTCAATTGCTCTACACGCTCTATAAGTTCATTGTTTTTTATCTCCATATTTTTTAGCAAATTAGTTTCAAAATGCGAAAAAGCAATGTTAAATTCATCCCTCACTATACCTCGTATTTCTTCCATATATAGGTTATTCACGGTAGAAACATGTTTATCCTCTAATTGTGAGTCCCACAACGATGTATTCGAACTCCCGCTTATTTGGTTGTCTGGGACTCCCTGTCGACTTTTGTATCGCATGATAACATTAGAATGGTCAGAGTTAGGAGGAGCGGGTGAGGTATTTGATGGCTTCGAGGTGCTGATGCGGACCAGAGTATTTGTATTGTCATGCTTTGGTATTTTGCAACGGGAGGCATGAAAGATCCAGGTATTTTTATTATCTTTACTCATTAAACTGAATTTATTTTGAGTCAAGTTTGCACACAGGAGATCATAAGAATCATTACAATTATGACAAACCAAATACTCCTTACGAAGATTTGCAGAGCAGCCTGCACAAGTTTTCGTCATTTTTGATATATTTATTTTAGGCGAAATTCGGTCTTATTAAAATTGTTAAGGCGAGTAATTAGCAAATAAAGTATCAACGAAAAGGAACTCGGCTAGCCGCTGCAATGATTCACACGCTCGAACGCGTTTGAGCCCTAACTAGACAAAGCAAGCGTAATCGTTTGTAATGTATTTAATGACAGTTTTAAATGATCTTTTTAATTACTAATGAATCACGCGTGTTATCACTACACTTTTAATGTCAAACCACAACTTCACGATTGTTTTAAGTAAATATGCAAGTTAAAACATTTGAAAGTTCGATTTACTAGCTTTAACTAATTTTATTGCGGAGCAAATATTTTTATTGAAAAATAAACCCATAATTCACTCACGTATTTACGGATGAAAACATAGCCTAAATTTAATTTAAATTTATTTCATTGCATTCGAATGAAACTGCTTTTTCACTTAGTGGACGTACCAAAAATTGTAGACTTTGAGGATACTGCGATCTTTTTCTATCGAGCCAAAATGTGTCAATCGTATTTTGACCACCATAATTTACTAAGAATAACCTTTAACTTTCATAATGAATATAAAAAAAATGTGAATTAGTAGTTTTAAATCACAAAAATTTCACTTTTAAAGCGTGAAAAATCTGCTTTTGACGCCTGCATTACCTTAAAATAATACAGGAAAACATTTGGAACATCCAAGAGTGCGAGCGTCGCACGCTTATTTTGTTAAAAATTTAAAAAAATAAACGGAGAATCTGATCGACTATCATTAACATCTGTTAAGCCTTGTTAAGTTCGATAGCAAAAATTAATAGGGATCCTCGTTAAAATATATGGAGTCTTATTTAATACTATTTATTTCAATCTTTGGCTTACGTTTCTAGTAAATGAGAAGATTCACCGACGCATAGACCAACGGACGGCAGTCCATTTAAAGTGAATCAATTAGAAAATAAACAAATATTATTATTCATTGTCCGTAGTTATTGTAACGTTAATAATAATATGGATTTTAAGTTTAGCTAAAAGTATAAGAACGAACATAACGAGAGTAGATCGTTACGTTGTGAGGCATGAAATATAGAGGCAAACATAGTGCGTAGATTTTAATGACTAAATTATATACACAATATTGTATATAATATAATAAATAATAATAAACAATAATAATATACATGATAACTACATAAATAATATATATAGTATACAAATACAAGTAATATCACAATAGCATAGGTGTTAATACTCCTTATCAAATTGCGCCCATTCAAGTGGGAGTTAGTTAGTTTTTTAATTGTTTTATGATATTCTTTTGATACTCGTTGCCAAAGGTATTCATGCTCTATTTTCGTTGATTCATGAACACTAAATTATTTATGTGTTTGATCTATTTTCAAATGATTAAATATCTCCCTACTGAAAAGTACATGAGCATCCCCCTCTGCATTAATTCTACGACCTGAACTAATGTGTAAAATGATTCATTTCTCTAAACCAAATCTGAAGCCTATATCATTTATAAATATTTCTATATATAAACAAACACTATTATTATACAACGATACATATTAATTAACCAGATGCGAAGTAGTTATTTTTTATACCAAAGTTTTAGAATCTCTTAGGTAAGGTGTTAGAGAGTTCCATAACCTAACTATTGATGGATGGGTAAGCCTATTAATGTTTATTATTCTCAAATATTTAATTTTCATGGTTTATTATTACGGTTGCAGTCTATCAAAAGTCAAATTCGTAGGCATACATAGGCCTCCCTCATATATTAATTCATAGCGGGGATAATTGCCATAGTTATCACATTTGGCGGTCCGAGTTGTTAGCTGCAGTTTTTATTTCTAATTATTATTAGGAACATGTTGCTGCCCATCTCTTGGCCTGATTTCGTTTGTCGCCTCTTGTAAAACCCGCGAGGTGATATAATGGGGTATTAGATATTCTTACACCAGCACTAGACATATATAATTAAATTAAACAAAATAAAATATCTATCGTCCCTTTCTATCTATTATTAGGGATCTAATATTACCCTTACGTTAATAAAGGTCAGGGTTATTCAGCAAAGGATCATTATATAAGATTCGCTTGTTTATCAATATAAACACATTCTAAATATTGTCATAATAACTAACACCTAACTATATATCTGTCAAATTTTGTGACTCTAGAGTATTAGAAATAACATTTTTGAGGCATAAAAATTTAACTTTTAATAAAGAACCTACTTAAAAAATTGAACGAAATCAAATAAATATCCACTTCATGCATTGATAAAAATTATTTGGTTACTATTTTATATTTTTAAATAATAACCATTTTTTTAAATTATAATAAGCAAATAAATTATTTGGTAATTATAATTGAAATAACAATCAAACAATTAAATCCCAGACTTCAAAAGCTAACTAATATTAATAATATTCTTTTCAATTTTTAAACTATAATTTTACTAATAAATCTTAAATCAACATTAATATTTGTTTGTTAGTATTTTATGCGCTGCCATATCGTTGATCACATTGCAATAACATTTTATCTACTTATTGCGTGAAAATTATAGGTATAATTGTACATTAACTTACTGTAGATGGCGCGCTACGTTACAACTTTATTTGAAAGTTAAATATAATTCAATTTCTATTAATAACTATTTGAAAGTTAAAAGGATATTTCCACAATTAATTCTTCTGCAGCAGCAACGCGCCGGTACCAGCTAGTATATGATAAAATACTAATTTTATACCTGTAGACTGTAATTCATAATAGAGTAGTTATATTAAAACTTAATCTTAACTTCTATCATTATCATCATCACAGTCCTTTACAAGTGAACTGCTGAACATAGAACTACCCTAAGGAATGCCACAAAGGAGTGCAACTATCGACACCTGCATCTCTTAACATGTAGTCAGTTAATCTACTACTACTAGTAGCTACATCTACGTCAAATTTTTAAAACCTTTTTACATATATATATATATATATATATATATATATATATATATATATATATATATATATATTACAAACGGAAAATAATTTTTAAGGATGAGACGTTACTTTGTGTAAATTAATTAAATTAAAGATTTTTAAAACTAATTTCCAAAGATAAAAATGGTGTGCTTTACATGTGAGGTACTCTTTGATCTCAAACTAAGACACGACATTAATTTTTTATCTGTGATATGCTCCTTTATCTATGAACTAGGTAAGACAACGTCAGTTTAAATTTTTGTACTGTAATTAATTTCTTTATTTTAACACCTTTAAGTCAAGAAAAATTTCAAAACATACTTCTTTTTTACAAACATATTTAGTAACTAATTTCTAAATATATTCGTAGTTAAATTTAAAATCAAACAAATTCTAAATTAAATAACTTATTAACCAAGATAAGCTTTTTGTCTCACAACGCTGTTTATTATTATGAAACCTTTTGTTATGTTTGCTTAAAGGTTAAACAAGACTGTAGGTTACAGCACAAAATATATTTACATAGGGCAGGTCATCGTCAGTATTGCCTTAGTTTTACTAAATACATGAGTTTTATATTATTTGCCATTACTTTAATCGAATAATCTGCATCTCCTCTCACCGTTATTGCAACAAGCAGTCATCCTCTCTTGAATTTACCGTTGCAATTTATTAAAGTTTACTGCTGAACACAAGCCCCCTCCCCACAGGTTGTCTCATAGGTAGGCCATAGTTGCTACGCTTAGCAAGCGAGTTGGTAACATCAGTATTTTTTTGATCTTTCTCTGTCGCCTCTTGCGACATGAATGGATGATATCAGAGTGTAAATATTCTTGAATTAGTTTTTGTAGTATTCGGATTGGCCTTTCCGCAATCACATAATGGAGTTGATCTACATTAACCTTGACTTGATCGCTTGGACTTTACATGTACATCTCCTGTTTCAGTTTCCTTATGTAGCCACACATAATGCCAGCGGAATAACAAGAGGGCGATGTTTTCTCTTCTGCAGCACATTGACAGAAGCGACCTGGAACCAACAAAGAAGGTTTACAGATGGGGCGTCACCTCCGAGAACTAAGATAAAATATCGCTTAGATTTAAATATCTATTGTATAAATTTGCTCACGGTCCATTACGATTTATGCAAGGGTTTGCTCTGCTTAGTTACCTTTTGCTGAGTGACTTACACTCTGTAATATAGAGCTTCTATAAATATGGTAAGCTGAAGTGACAACAGCCCAGCCATATAACTCAAAGAATCGGTAACGGATATGGTAGAAAGGTTCTCGAGTGGCAACCTTGTTCAGGTAAATGAATTGTAGGACGGCCCCTCCCTAGATGGAGTGACAAACTCTCATGATATATAGGAAGTCAATGAATGCTGGTGGCTCAGAAGCGTGCTTTGTTTCTTGTTGTATTCCTTGGGGTAAGCCTATGTTCAGCCCTGGACTTATGATGAAGGTTGTATGATGATGAGGATGATGATAAGTCTTTCAGAAATTTCTACAGCATGATTGAGGCTTTGGTTGTTGCATGGTATATTTACGTAGCTATTTTTTAGTAGAAGTTAATATAAAATATTTATCCACTTTGGTTTAGGCCCTGGTAAATACTTACGGTTATCCCAAAAACATTTATATTGTTGCTTGCATAGCTCTTTAAGGTCTTTGTTCGTAACAATTGTAATTAGCCCGAATAAACGTTAACCCATAGTGAATACAGTATAATGGAATTAGACTCCAGTCTGCTGATTGCTATAATAATATAGTTAAGGATATATATAGTTAAGAAAACCTGTACATTGTATGATTTTACGTGTACTTGATTACGTAATCAAAATCACGATTCTGCTGTTTTATACTTGCTGCTGAACTCATTGAGTATTTATCAAACTGTGTCTAGTCAGTTTGCTATAATAGTGACGGTACACTCAAACAACGTGCAAGAACGCATCGTTGTAATACATGTGACAGGTTTTTTAATTAAAAAATAAATAATTTAGCTTATACT